CCACCCACAGGTCTGTCACTGAATGACCAGACAGGTTAAAGTGTTCTCCCACTGGTTTTTGAGTATTTTGATTCCTGATGTCAGATTTGTGTATATATCTCCTCAATATATGTTCCATTCTATATGCATCCGAAGAAGTGGGCTGTAGTCCACGAAAGCTTATGCTCTAATAAATTTGTTAGTCTCTAAGGTGCCACAAGTCCTCCTGTTCTTCTTTTTGCGGATACAGACTAACACGGCTGCTACTCTGAAACCTTTCAAATATATACTGTGCACTATAAAGAACATATCTAACAGATACAGAGCAGACTTCTCATTGTATCTTCAACTGTAATATTTGCAGTTCAGAGTAAATGGTGTTTTGCGCCCCAATGCTGAGCTAAGGTCCACACATGTGGTCTCTTGCACCTGTGCAGACATCCATTGACTCTAATGTGATGCTTTATAGTCATGTGGGTCTGCCTGTGCATATCTGATTGTATGATTGGGACCGTGATTAATTACAGAAGTCAGCCAGTTAGGGAGCAGAAAAAAAATCACTTGATTTATGTAACTAATCAACACAGGGTGAACTGTAATTTTTATAATCAGCTATGCAATTAGAAATTCTCTTTTGGTCAATATGAAGTATTCAATCTAAAATTTCGTTTTCAATGGTATCGTCACTAGTAACATTCATTTCAGCACTGAAATGCTTCAGGAAAGAGACCACAAAAATGTTGCAGACTTGCTCAAATCAAAATTCACTTTCAGATTCAAAGAAATATTTTTTTCCATTATTGCTCAGCTCTGCTAACAAATTAGATTAATGAACAGCAATCGCTTATTCATAGTAGTTAGTTTTACATTAAATATGAAACCTCTACCAATCTGGCATAGGAACTGCAGATTGTTTAGAGTCAGCTATTAGTTTCAGTGTCAGGGTTCAGCAGCTCAAGCTCAGCTATGGAACCTAGGTATTCTTCTTTGAGTGATTGCTCAGATTAATTCCAATTAGATGTGTGCGCGCCGCATGCACAGTCGTCGGAAAGTTTTTCCCTAGCAGCACCCCTTGGGTTTGCTGTGGAGCTGTGGATTGGCACCTCCATGACGCTCTATATATGGCCCTGCCAACCCAGCACCTCTTCAGTTCCTTCTTACCGCCAGTGACAGTCGTTGGAACTGCGGTAACTTGCTTAGCAAGCTCTCCTCATTTTCCCTAGCCTTTCAGTTTAGTTTAGTTTAGAGTTATTCCTAGTCTAGTTAAGTTTAGTTTAAGTGGTTTTCTGTTGTTACAGCAGATAGCTGTTGGGAGTGGAGGGTTTCCCATCCACCCTGACCGCGTTCCCCCTTGCGGACTTGAGGTATGCCTAAGTCCCAAGGGTTCAAACCCTTCAAGTCCTGCAAAAAGCCCATGCCAACGGGCGACCCCCCGACACTTGCTTAAAGTGTGTGGGGGAAGCACACCAAGCAGACAAGTGCAGGATTTGTAAAGGGTTTTGCCACAGAACAAAAAAGGAGCAGGACTTTTGCCTCAAGCAGCTCCTTATGGAGGTGGCACTTAGACCACAACCCACATTGGTGCGGCAAGACGCGGCACTGAGCTTATCGGTGCACAGTGCCCCAGTAGCAGTGGTAGAAACGACACCACGGAAGGACTCTGGAAGAGACTTGTGGCACCACCGCTCCCTGGCACTGAAACCAGTGAGATCGACCCAGCACTGGTCCCATTCCCTGGTGCAGAAGTGTCACTGGAAGCAGGGGAGGAGTGGATCTCCGACTCTGAGACCCATCCCTTCGGAGCCGGCCAATGGGGCATGTCCCAGGGAGGAGCACCCAGTTCCAAAAACTTTGGAGCTGGCACCGTTGATTTCAGCCTCGCAAGGGGGACCATCGAATCAGGTGCCATTGGAC